AATTGCCTCTTGATCAGCCAGATCATCCGAGTGGAAGACTCGTCGGCGTACGAGGGTAAATAAGAGTGTTGTGGCTGCCTTGCTCGACGATAACCTGGGGCATAGGGGTGGGACCGGATTGCACACCTTTGAGACACGCTTGGCTTCTGATGCAAAGAAACGTGACACTGTGACACTGGGAAGAACAAAGGGAGGGGTAGATTTCAAAGGATAAGTTCGGGTTTAAATTCCAAACTGTGAACAGACCCGGTCARTCAACATTATTTTTATTATTGATTAGTTAGATGGACAGCCATGTGACATCTGACAGACAACATTAGTTTATAATATTATTTATTCCTGATTTTTTATCTGTTTGAGAACTAATCTTGCTAAAAATAGTATTGACAATAGGAACCTCACTTACCTGTTGACCCCAAATGAGATCTGTTCTGAAAGCCACCACTAATTAGTTGGTCTGTGTACTAAGCTGCGGTAGGCATCTAGAATGATCTAGTGTGGACAGTGCATAGTGTTGTAGCCTATAAGCGACGTGGAGGACACCGGAGAGGACGACCGCAGGACCTTACGATCGGCTAGAGGACCGGTATCCCATGTGTCTTTAGGACCGGAGGGTGATAGGGAACTGTTCCGCCGACAAAGGTAAAGGAGAGCGAGAGCAGCCGAGGCCAGCAGGGCATTTGATAGCGAGGCCTGTGGTATAGCAGCCATGGCTACCACGACCATGAGCACGTCTGCGCAGCAGACTTCCCAAGACGGAAGTTCAGGTACCGCCGGGTCCACGGTCGTGCACACCGTGAGTCAGTCCACTGGCTTAATGGCAAGCCAGCCCGCGGTGTTGTCCCCAGAGGATGTCGCCATCCAGCAGGCAGCCCTGCAAGAGGCACAGCTACAGCAGGCATTAGGAAAGATAAAAAGGGAGAAAGAGATGATGATTAGAAGAAGAGTCAGGATGCAACAAAGAGGGGCAGACATAGAGGAGTTAGAGACGATGGACCTGACGCATATGGATGAGGACGTAAAGATAGTTAGGAGGGCCCTGCTAGGCGTAATTGACATGTAGGAGCATCAAACTACCCTCCTTCAGGACATTCAACAAAGCCTAGCCATGTTGGCAGGCCGTGCTCAGGCAGCACCATCACCAGCAGGGCCTGGTGCCTGGCCCGTGCCATATCCTCCTCTTTCTGTTCCACCGGTGACTGGGGTATCCCCATATGTAGCCCCTTCATCGGTTGCTATCGTTTCCCTGGGCATGCCTCTGTGAGGAGGAGTAACAGCAGGGAGTAGTTTGCAGGTTCCTGTTCATACAGTGTTTACTCCAAGTCCGTCACAGGTTGCAGTCACCACGTAGTCTGCTGTCTCACAGTCAGTGCAACCTCAGGGCACACAGCCCCAACAGCTAGCACAACAACCTGTATCGCCGGGTCCACAGCCCGGGTTGGTGCAGGGACTGGGACAAAGTCAGTGGGTTCCAAAGACGGCCATCGCCGCTCCCAAACCTTTTACAGGGGACAAGAGAGGCGAAGACCTCGACACTTGGTTGAGAGCAGTGCCGGTCTACGTCAGGTGTAAACCCACCTTGCCACACGAAGAAGTGCTTGTGGCTGCTTCCTACCTGGAGGGTAGTGCAGCGAGATGGTTGAGTGGGTTAGTGCAACTCCAGGGGTACGGTCATGACTTCCGCTCTTGGGCAGCCTCTCAAAAATTGGAGGACTTCCTGAAAATGGTAGAAGACAGGTGGCATGATCCGCAGGAGGCTCAAAAGGCCACTGATGTGATCCTGATACTGCACACGCGGCAGTTTAAGTCAGTAAGGGATGCCACCGACGTTGTAGAGCGTTTGATTTGTGTTCCAGGGGTACGCTATGACCCCCAGGTCC